ATGCCAGAGCATAGCAAGACGTTATTTACAGCGTGTGTTTTTAACACGACTTGAAATTCGTAAACAATAATGCTGACAGCTCAGCTGTGCTTCCTCACAGCATTCCATCCAAACCAGGAGATTTTTACAATTTTTACTGTCATCGGAGCTGGTTGGCACCTTTTGGGTGAAACATTTTATTTGGCAAAGCCATCCCTCTTCACAGAAGTGGTTGGGGAATCACAGAACACTTTGGGTCAGAAGGGGCCTTCAGAGATCACCTAGTCCAACCCCCCTGCCTTGGGCAGGGACATCTTGCACTAGATTGGGTTGCTCAAAGCCCTGTCCAGCCTGACCTTGAACGCTTCCAGTGATACATCCACAACTTCTCTGGGCAACCTATGTCTCATTTAATCTTCTTTCAGGAGGTTTCTCCTGATGTTGTGTTGCTGGAACGTGTCCAGAGGAGAGCAACAAAGCTGGTGAGGGGTCTGGAGCACAAGTCTTACGAGGAGCAGCTGAGGGAACTGGGGTTGTTTAGTCTGGAGAAGAGAAGGCTGAGGGGAGACCTTATCACCCTCTACAACTCCCTGACAGGAGGCTGTAGCGAGGTGGGTATTGGTCTCATCTCCCTGGTAATGGGCAATAGGACAAGGGGAAATGGTCTGAAGTTGTGCCAGGGGAGGTTTAGGCTGGACATTAGGAAAAATTTTTTCTCCGAAATGGTTGTCAGGTATTGGAACGGGCTGCTCAGGGAAGTGGTCGAGTCCCCATCCCTGGAGGTATTTAAAAAATGGGCAGACGAGGTGCTTAGGGACATGGCTTAGTGGTGGGATGGCAGGGTTAGGTTAACGGTTGGACTTGATGATCTTAAAGGTCTTTTCCAACCTGAACGATTCTATGATTCTCGGGTCAATGCTGGAAAAAAAAACTAAGGCAAAGCCCCCAACATGCAGGAGAGGAAGGACGCCTCTCTTGATTTGGGTTAGAGACCCAAATCTGTGAGTTCCAGCTCACAGGCAAAGTGCCTGGTGACTGAGCCTGCGTCTGTTCTGGGACAGTCTCTGTTTGGCTCTGGCTTTGCTTTCTTCAATTATGTTTCTCTATTAACATTTTCATGGGGTTATGCTTTTGTTCCACATCAAAACGACACAGATCCCACAGCATTCCTCAAAGGACACAACTCCCGTTTGCTGGCTGGTCCAAGTTATCATGGAAATTATTAGTTTCCTTATGCATTTATTGTGCTCATCCAGAAATACAAGCTTGCCCTGTTATGATCTGAAACACTATGCACAGAAAGGAGAAAATTCCACGTAGTACCACAAACACCATGCTTGCAAGAAGGTGGTATGTTAATTAATAAAGTCTGGGAGCCACTGGTTTAACATATTAATGAATTTGTTGCACAGAGAGAGATGGAAAGATAAATTTCCTTATTAGATTTTTGAATGTCTGATACTTTTATTGTAATTATGTTCTATTTCATGTCTTTCTTACAAACACTCTAATAGTGTTTCTAATAGTATAATTGTGTTTGTTAGATAATTATTTCAGCAAAGGGAACGAGAAATTAGGGGATATAGGCCAGATGAACGTATTCAGAACTTGAAATAGGAGGGACAGCTGTGGGGGTAGACCCTGGAAGAGAGATCCTTTTATAACTGAGGACCTACGGAGAGTAGGATCTGCTTAGGAGCAAAGGAGGGTATGAGATGGTCAGAAGAGCCAGGAGAAAAGAATTGTTTTTCTCCCAAAGAGTTTTGAACATGAAGGCCCTGCTGAAAAAAATAGGTGGGTGAATCAGAGAGATGTGGCAGTGGGCTCTATGGCTGCATTTCTTCACTAATGCAAGGAGGAGAGAAGCTGCCTTTTTCACAGACTGCAGTGAGAATAGTGGAGGTAACCTGGCTCGGGCTGATCCAGCCCTTTCAGTGCAGTGGGTTGGAGACCATTTTTTAAGTGTCTCCAGAGGATGCATACAGAAATGTCATCTCAGACTGGCAAGCCTCTGAGCTGCTGCCAGCCCAGCCTGGTGCTGCTCCAGGACTGGTGAGGCCAAAGCTATCTCTTCCCACAAAGGGGAGATGGCATTTCATGGAGCTGAACACGTGAGGAGGCATTTGCCCGCTCCGATGTGGCCACTGATAGCCCTAACCAGCAGGGCTGGTTGAATCACCCCTTGGGCAGAAGCCAACCTGTGGGTTGTAAGTTGGACCACAGAGCTGCAGAGAGCGGAGAAGTTGGTAATCAAGGGAAGTGAGATAAAGGGAAGGTGGGGATTGCAACGCCTCTGGCAAACAGTGCCTTAACTGGTGTGGGAGAGCCTTCTCACATGGCTGTGCCCAGGGCCAGGCTGACAGCACTTCAAACAAATCGTAGAAAAACTTGGGGTTCCTGGAGCTGCATGGAGTACTTAAGCACTCACACTAAAACTGACTGCTGGACATCTTTTACTGGGTCCACTGGCATTCTTCACAGTATTAACCACATGTGATTTTACATGAGAACTACCTGTGGAAACCTGAGTGTGAACTTAAGTTCCCATGTTAAAATATTGCCCAGCTGTCTTCTTCTGCACAGTCTCAGTGACTGGAGTAGAGATATGTTCATTTTTAAAATTTTCTTCGCCTCAGGGTGAAGGAAAGGGTAGAGGTTTGAAATTCCTCATTACGGTCTATATTTTTGCATTACTATAGAACTTAGAAACTCTAGTTCCATGTCAAGAAGAGACAAAGAATAGAAGAGAGAGATTCCTGGCGGAGTTCCCACGAGTCAGGAGAGCGTGGGGCTCTCACCCTGGGTCCAATGTATGGCTGGGGCAGAAGCCTACATGGGGGCAGTAACCACACTGGGACAGAGCGGTGGGTATTTGACAAGAGTTTCAAGAGATGAAACTCTCCATGACTGCACGTAGGCTTGGGGATTCACCCCCAAAATTCCCATAGTTACTTTTCAGCTGATTTGGGGACTGCCGGAAGACACTTTGTGGCTTTCCTCAAGGTTTCCTGCAAAAGGCTAGGGAAAACAGCCTTATTCTCACCCATACTATCTTTTCACTGCCCTACCTACAGAAAAGTTACACACTGTGTCCTTTATAACCCACTTAGCTTCTCTGCACCCAGTTTGGTAAAGAGAATACAGCCCAGAATAATTATTCATGATTCTGACACATACACACATACAAAAGGTTTGGGATAAGAACAGAAATTCTTTACAGATTCTTTCTGGATGCATCAGGAAGAATCAGGGGCCAGATTCTGCCCTTAGTCCCTGCAGATGAATACTGGTGTAGCTCCCTAAAATGAATGAAGTTACTCTGCACTTACACAGTGACAGATTAGAAGCTACGAAATCAAAACCAAACCCCACGAAGTCTAGTTTGGCAGTGCTCGCAGGAAGCCATAAAAACCTGTATAGTTACTTCAAAGTGGTTGTCTGTCCCAGAAAAAAAAAAAGGAGGATTAAATCTGACCTTACAGCCCTGCAAGGTTAGATGCCAATGCTTCCGTCTCATTGAGAAGACAGTAAACTCTTCCTAGTGGCACCACGCTGTTATTTCCTGAGTCAGAAGATGCTACTCCTTAAATTCCTTGCTGGTTCAAAATTATTTACTGAATCCTAGCTGCTGTGGGTCCAATGTAAGCTATACCAGGGGGGAGCCTAACAGAACCCCTGGAGAAAGAAAGAGGAGACATTTCCCAAAGCTAGCACCTCTTGGCATCTATGGAGCAGTTTGATGCATTAGATGTGGCCCCTGGGAGAAGGAGTAGCAGTGTGCTTCTATTTTTGCGTGAAATCAGGCTCAGCAGAGGGCATGATGATGCATGAATATTGGTGTGTGCCTGCTTTCTCACTGTCATTTCCTCAGAGGTAGGGGGGAAGCAAAGGATGGCGGTAACAGGAGGGACGCAGACAGCCCCCCACATTACCTATCAGGGCAGTGGGGGGCTCTTGCTTCACGTACTTGTTACAGAGAGGCGGCTGCCAGCCAGCAGAGTAACTCACGATGCTGCTGCTCTTTGCAGGGAGACAACTCCCGTTTCCGCTAGCTGCTTGGCTCGATTTGGCATTTTTTATTATAGCCCAACATAGCGTGACTATGCAGCTGATTCACTGCACCATGGCTGGGGTGAGGACTGCTATCGCACCCTCTCAGGGGACGCAGTGGGAGTACGAGAGTGTGAACTCCAGCTCTACTCCCAGCCCAACTTTTGGGACTTGAAAGAGAGGGATGTGCTGTGGTTTAAATATTCACGCATGCACCCTTAGCTCCAGTGCTTAAGCTTTCAGGTATTTTAGGTCGGAGCTAGTCTTCTAACCAGCCTGAAGCTATGCTGCACCATGCTGTAATCCTGACAATTTTTTCAACTAAATGTGCTTGAATCTAGTAATTTTCCCAATGGCTCACCTCCAAGAGAAATGGTGTCGATCACTTGGTAGGTTTCAGGGTTGGGTGTGAGTCATCTCTGAGTCAGGCAGCAGCTCCAGCTCTGTGAAGTGCTGGTCCCTCCGTGCTAGCATGACCCGTGGGGCTGCAGCCCTGTGGCAGATGCTGCTCCTGAGCCTCCCCCCAGCACCGCTGGGCACTCGCAAAGCAAAGGGGCGAGTCCACAGCCCTGTGCTTTTGGCTGTTCATGTGCTGCAAAGCCCTCTCGACCTCAGAAGATGGCGGGGTGTATAGGTGATGCTGGCTCCAGGCAGGGAGAAGGAGATGGGGACCAGTCTCACCCCCTGCGGAAGGCTTGTCTGACTGGGCAAACAACTTCCCTCCCCGGGGCCAGGAGGAAGCAAGGAAGGAGTTTTGTCCAGAGACCTCTGTCCCTGGCGCGGTGTTTCTGTTTATATTCACATTTACATTAAGTAGGGTGGTGTCCCAGTCCTCAGGCAGTCGAGAGCAAAGCCAGACACAGTCTTGAAGGCAATAGTACTGTGTGCGTTGTGCAAAGCAGCGTGACTGACAGGTTCCTCCTCTCTCTTTGTCTTTCTCTCCCCCTTCCCTGGCGGTGTGGTTGAAGCAACGCCCTGTGAAGCAGTCCCTGAGCGCCTGCATGTGCCGTGAGTCCCACTGGAAATGCCTCCTCCTCTCCATCCTCATGTACGGCTGCCTGGGTGCGGTAGCCTGGTGTCAGCTGGCCCGGGTCACCAAGCTCAGCTTTGATAGTTCCTTCAAGGGCAAGTCCATGATCTACCATGACAGCCCGTGCTCGGACGGCTATGTCTATATCCCACTGGCCTTCCTGTCTATGCTGTACGTGGTGTACCTGGTGGAGTGCTGGCACTGCCACGTCAAGAGAGAGCTGCAGTACAAGGCGGACGTAGACAGTGTCTATGAATGCATCAACCGCATGCAGCAAGCCACTCCGTGCATCTGGTGGAAGGCCATCAGCTACCACTTTGTCCGGCGAACCCGGCAGGTGACCCGGTACCGCAATGGCGATGCCTACACCACCACACAAGTCTACCACGAGAGGGTCAACACCCATGTGGCTGAAGCTGAGTTTGACTACTCTCACTGTGGATACAAGGACATCTCCAAGGAGCTCCTGGGCCTGGAGAGCTACACAGCCACCAAGCTGAGGTTCACCAAGTGCTTCAGCTTTGCCAACATTGAGTCTGAGAACTCTTACCTGACTCAGAGGGCTCACTTCTTCACAGAGATCGAGGGGCTGGATGACTACATGGAGGTGAGGGAAGGCATGCAGCTCAAAAACGTGGACTTTAAAGAGCTCATGATGGCCTACGGGGACCCGGATCACCTCCCATGGTACGTGTCCCACTATGCTTTCTGGGTGGCAGCTATCCTGATGATCTCGTGGCCGCTCAGGGTACTTATAGAGTATCGGACTGCTTACGTCCACTACCATGTGGAGAAGCTGCTGGGCCTGGAGTACACGGCGCCCACAGCGGCGGAGGAGCCCTTATACCGGTACCGCATGCCCCGAGATGCCACGCAGGACAGCACCGAGCTGGAGTGGCACATCTGCACCAACCGGCAGCTGATCCCCAGCTACTCGGAGGCCATGCTCATGGACCTGGCCGACTCCCCGGCTTACAACAGCTACGCGGTGTGCCGGTATGGCGAGACGGCCCACGGCTGTGAACGCTGCAACCGTGCCTCCAGCACCTCCTCCATCTTCTCGCGCCACGCTTTCCACAGCTGCAGCGGCAACTCCCGCCTCTCCCTCAACACCAGCCGCTTCTCCCTCTGCCGCGTCCACGGCTCCCACAGGACAGGCCTCTGGAGGAGCCACAGCAGCAGCATCGCGGACCGGGGCTGCCAGGACGAGCAGTGCTGCTCCTACTCCAGCCAGCTGGCTGTCAACGAAAACCCCCCAACCTACCACGACGCCCGCTTCTTCCCCGTCCTGATTGTGCACAGACCGGAGGGGCACGACAGGCGGCATTTCTACGTCAGGCGCTCCTCCTGTCTAGAAACCTCTCTGTGACGGGCCTCCATGGCTTCTCGGCTCTTCTGCCCCGGGACCCAGCTTGCAGAGGTGCCGCCGGCAGGGAGCCTGCGAGCATTGGTCTCCACAGTGGGCTGGCAGGACAAGCTTCAGCTCTTCCCCCTGCCATTGCAAGAGGACGCAGTCACTCTGACCAACAGCTAACCTCATTTCCAAAAGCTTCTCCCCCTCCTTCGGCTGGTCTCCCCCAGTCTTCTGTTCCCCTCTTCCTTTCACTCCTCACCCTTTCTCTGCTCCCTGGTTCCCTGCCTCTCCTCCCATCCCACCCTCAGTCTTCTTTTTACGTTTCATTCACAGCATTTGACCGCTGTTGCTGCTGGAGGATTTATAAAGCCTGTGCTTTGCAGTATGTTTGCCCTCTTGGATGCCCTGCAAGGTAAGAAACTCAGATTGAGCGAGGCGAAAGGCACGCGGCCAGCCAGAGTCAAGTCAGAAGGAGAATTCAGATCTGCAGGTGCTGAGTCACCTCCTGCAAGCCCCAAACAAGGTGCTTTTTAAATTTATTTTGTTTTCACCGGTCTTTTTTCCTTTTCTTCTGTCATTTATTCTCTCCTTTCTTCATGTTCTCCTCCTCTTACTTTACCCTCATCTTCCTTTTTTTTCAGTTTTCTCATTTCTGCTGTCCAATCTTTCTGGGGTTTTGCTGGTGAGGATGTCTCTCAGGGTGTAATTGCCTTCCCTTGGGCAAAAATAAGGTATTTGCAGCACAAATGTCACTGACTGCTGACACAACCACAGGCTATGCCCCTGAGAAGTGCTGAGGACTTTCCTTCCAGAGCAGTGACATACACTAATAAAGCAAAAAGCCCTTTGCTCGCCTTGCCCTGCCTGGTCTGCAGCAGAGACATGGCTGCGTTTCCAGCTGTAGTTAACCTTGTCCAGCTCCACCCCTGTTAGCGATCGTTGAGAGCTGTAATGTAGACCAGTGCCCTGTTAGTGCCACTATTTTTAGGACTGTGGGTCTGGTTTGTGGTTATTTCATTCCTATCGCTTGCTCAGAGCAGCACGGGCTGGACAAGGGGAGAGGGGCTGGAAAGGGAATGGTGAATGTGGTATTAACCCTCACACCAGTAGTCTGGAGTTGTTAGGAAGCTCTTCCACCCACAACATCTATTGGAGCAGTTGCAGGACTGCTCTACCTTATCCTTCAGCTTTCCGTGTGCCCTGAGGAGGGCTTTTGGCCCATAGCCCACTGCCGCCTTCCCACCTTCCCAGGTGGGATGTGGTGCCACCCCAGCCCCGGGCAGGGAGCACAGCAGGGAGCCAGCCCCACCGGCCGCTCCCGACGGGGCTCCAGGCTCTTCCTGCAAGGCTTCCCCCGGAGCAGGTGCAGCACCTTCCAGAAACTAGGGATTAGTCCCAGCAATGCCAAACCCAGAAGATGTCCGGTCCTGGCGGAGCGGACTCCTGCACTCTGGGCTGTGGGCTGCCCTCCTAGCCCGGCCGGAGAGCCCCCCGAGAGCCAGGCACTGACCCAAAAAGCTTATGGCCACACTGAGGACCCACCAGGGACCTCACACCTGCCAAACCTCCATCCCACACGCTGAGCGAGCTCCGTACCATTTTGTCATGTGGATGGCAGAGATTGTTATCCACCGTGACTCACCGGAGAATGCAATACGATCGCAATACAGTCACTTCCAAAAGCAAAGTGTTGTCACGCCCTACAGCAAGTAGGTAAGAAACCAAGCCCCCAGAGGGGCTGGCAACAAATGCTTCCTCCCAAGTCCGTTCTATGTGTATCTACGTGTAATATGAGATTTGTAAAGTCATATTAGTATGTGTAGATTATATATAACTCTGCATACTTATATGGTGATTTCTTATGGCATCGACTGTTGCACCATGTTAAATACATTTTGGTTTGGTTTGATGACTCTGGTTTGATGTGCTGTGTTTATTTCAACTCCAGAAATAGAAACATTGGCAATACCTGGCTAACCTGCTGCAAGCGATAGCACCATCAGAAAGGTTGTTTAAATTCATGTGAGTCGATCTTTTTTAATGTAAATACTTTATGTGTGATTTATGTGACATTTTCATTCTGACAGCTTGGCATTTATCACAAAAGATAGCTAACACATATGATGTGTTAGTTTATCACCTCTAAAAAAGAATAACCATCCCAGACACATGGAGGAACCAGGTTTGGGCTCGGGGTAATGATTATGGTTGGGCTGGGGCCAAACTGGATAACACTGAAACTTAGAGAAAAATCCAAACTTAGATCCACCCTACGGTGATCCAGTCCTAGCCCCCATCTACACCATGCCACTTACCACCCCCAGGCAGAGCTGGGAGAGTTTGGCAACTGGGAAAGGATCAGGCCTGAACTCAAAGCTCAGACTCATCCCTGATTTACTTGTATACTTGTGTAAGACGGAGTAAATGCAAGTCTTTAATATGGTTCCCTGTCCTTATTCACACAGAAAGTTCACACAGAAAGTTAAAACCAGCACATATGGAAGACGTAAGAGCTGGAGGTGGCTGAAACTTCACGGAACAGAGAGGCTGGAATATTTCAACAGAGTTTCTTACTGGAGGAGGTGGTAGGGAGGAAGACAAGAAAGGAGAAAGGAAGAGATGGTAGAGTAATACAAATTATAAGAGAACAGAGTTCAGATGCAGCTAAGATAATTCCCAAATGAGCAGTATAACTCAGTTATGGAAAGCTTAGCCCAGACACAGGCAGGATGAGTTTCAGCCTTCTTATGTAGCTGCTGCAGCCACCTGTGGCTTTAAATGCCATGTCCAAGGTCTTGGCATGGCCAGTTTGGCCCCATATGTATTTCAAGATGGAGAGTTATATTTGGGTCCTCAGAAGTGGCCACGTTAAACAGTATTATTATCCAACATGAACAAGCTCTGGCAATCCCATTATTATGATGGGTTGGGCAGAGAATGGAGGCAGTTTATGCCCTGTTTAACCTTTTCAGTGTCCTCAAAAGCCACTGTAATATCCAGCAGCTCTCAAGCTGCGTCCTTGGCAGGGTTTGGAAAGCCCAGAGGGTTTCTGCTTCCTCACTCCTTGTGTTCTGGCCCAACTTTGGGGCATTTATTTGGGAAGCCATCCCTAAGCCGCAAAAGCTCCCTCACACATGGATCTCCCTCCTGCCACTTGCTGCAGCCTCTGGTGGTGACTTAAAAGCTAGGAGCAGCTCCCATTCTGGCCTGGGGCTGAATATACTGGTTTCAACACATCCCACTCCCACTTCCCAGTCAGGAAGCACCAGCACAGCCATCCTGGGTCTCCTACACCCTAGAGCAGAGCTACTCCTGCAACCCTTGAACGTGAGTTCGTCGCTCTTGCCATTGCCGCAGCTTCCTGATGCAGGATAAGGGATCTGTCCCCTAGCAATGGCGGGGATAACGCTGCTTTTCAAATCCCAAGTCAGAGGATGGAGCTGACAGGTTCTCAAATCCAAATGCAAACCAGGCAGGTCTATGGAAAACGCCTCATACGAAACACAGGGATTTTGTATCCAATTGTGGACTGACTACTTTGACAATGGAGTAGAGGCATGTGCCAGCAGCTTTTGCCAAACTTTTAGGGCTATGGCTTCCCATGTGGAAATGGATGTTTTGGGGTGCTTTCTCACCAGGCTAACCCATCCTTGTCCCGTCAGGTCTCAATAAGTAGAAGAAGCTGAACAGCAGAGGAAGGTGAGGAAGTCCAGCAAATACTTCTCTCCCTCCTGCCTTCTCTCTCCCCTCTCTCCCTCCCTCTCTTCTTCCTTTTTCCTTCTCTCTCATCTTCAGAAGTCTCCCAGTGCTGGGAATTCACCTCTTGGTTATTGTGCCACTCTTCAGACATTTTCTAGAACATGCCCGGCAAGCCCAGTGAGCTGTAACAACACACTATCGCAACAGAAGAAGTAAGGAAAGGACATAAGCCAGGAAGGCACCAGCTTATATGTAAGCCACCGTGCTGTGTCCTGTGCATGTGAGCAGCGAGCACTGCCGCTGGTGTTACAGCTTGTAGGACAAAGCCACGTTGCTTAATTCAGTGGCACAAGAGGAGGGGAGAGTTTATTTGTCTTTAGTTCCTAAAAGCATTTCAGAATCACCAGTTCCTTTGATTTGTGCATGGTAATGTTGCACTTCTCCGTAAGTTTTCCCACAGCAGCTTGCACTCCAACTGGCAACGCGTGCAGGATTTCAGTCCAATTTTCAGATGGCTCTTCCTGCCTATCACTGTTGTCACAAAGCCCTTCTCAGATGAGCTGAAGCCAGATCACCTGCTGGGGAAAATTCCCTTTGGTATACTGCCTCCAGCACAGCTTTGCTCTCTTACACCAGCCCAGAGTCTGGCCTGTGCCATGCTACAACAACTTCCTATCCCATACTCCTCTTTTCAGACGGAGGCTCCTTTCCCCTTTTTCTTCCCTTTCTCAAAGCCTTTGGGAGCATCACATATGACATTTGGACAAAGCACAGCACACCCGTCGAAGTAGAGGCACACTCCAGGCATGCAGCAGTGGAGTCAAGCCTCCCTCAGCCACTGCCTCCCCGGGTGGGCTTGGCCAAGTCACCATGCTTGCCTGAGCCTCCTCTCTCCTGCTTGTACGCCGGAGCATTTCCTGAGCCCACAGGGCCAGTGTAGCGTTGTAAGCCTGGGTAATTGTAAGGCCGGAAGAAATCCTTAGAAGGAAAACATGGTGGAAACACAGCGTTATTCTAACGGCCATTTTTCTTTCTCACAAGACAACTAAAATCTGCAAAAGTAGCTACTTTCTGGAAGGCGCTACTGCCATGAGTAAGCGCAGAAACACGCCGCGCATTTGGATAGATGGGTAAATATGGATACATGGGGGAGAGAGAGCAGTGACAGCGAGGGCGCGTGAAGCTTTTAGCAAACACCGGTGCAGAATCTCTCAGCCCAAGAGCTGTCGTGATCCCGGCGAGAGGTGTGTCACGGTTTCCTGCCCCCGAGAGCACCCAGGCTTCCCGCAAGTGCTCGGGTGGATGTCTTGTCAGTG